AGAGAGAGAGAGAGAGAGAGAGAGAGAGAGAGAGTATGTGCTGACAAGAAGTCACTAATGGACAAGCTGGAGTTGAATAAATGGGTAGGGAGGATGTGCAGGTTTTAAGGGAGTCGCTGGAAGAGAAGAATTCCGGTTACTTATCCTCCTCTCTGCCTTCTTGTTCCAGTAGGTTTGAAGTAGGATGTGGTCAAAGGAGGAGGATACTGATGGCCAAGAAACTACATGTACAGCAGCCTTTGAAGAACAATTGGGATACATTTCACACCTCTGCTCTCTCTAAGAAACCTTCTGTCATTTGCTATATTACTACCGTCAACTTCTTTCATCTGGAGATATTGATCGCTTCCTTGTTTACTGTGTAAGCCATAGGCTCTTGTTCTTCTCTCTCTCTCTCTCTCTCTTCTTAATTACTCACTGTGCAGGATTCCTCTCTCTCACTCCTCCCTCCATCTGTCCCCACCGACTCCGCATCCCTCCCTTTACTTCCCTTTCACCACAGGGTTGCGCGCAAGAAAACAACTGCGCCTCCTTTTCCTTCTCTTCCCCCATACCAAGCTCTCATCCTTTTAATGGCCTCCATGAACAATTGGCTAGGTTTCTCTCCCTCCCCACAAGAGCTTCCCCCTTCGCAGGCTCATCAGACCCACCCTTCTCCTGGCATCATCTCCGGCGGTGACGTCTCCACCGACCCATCCTCTGTGACTCCCCTTGGCGTCCCATCTCAGAGGCCAGATGGATCTTTCGGCATCTTGGAAACCCTTGACGCACCCGATCATCATCTCCAAGGTAACGATGGACACGATATATACTCTCCGCTGTGCCCTTGCATGAGGTAGCTTATGCTATTCGCGAAGCGAAAACCTCGATCTGGTGTTGTAGGTTGGAGCATGAAGAGCATAGGGTATAAAGGAAGCGATCATGAGCTATCGGTGTTGGTAGGATCAAGTAGTAACCAGAACACCATGGACGAGGAGGAGCAACCCAAGCTCGAAGACTACCTCGGTGGCCATTCTTTTGCGCGATATGATCGGAAGCTCCCGCCCATCGCCGGAAATTATGCCGATTCCGGTGGCTACATGTTATCCAATGGCTGCAATAACGGAGGGCTAATGAGCAGCACTGACGGATGCAACAGTAGCTCCATCGGGTTATCGATGATCAAGGCCTGGTTGCGGAACCAGCCGGCGCCACCAGCGCCGGTGGAAGGAAATGGGAGTGACGCAGCCGGGTGCACCAACATGATCGCACAGAGCTTGTCACTGTCGATGAGTACGGGGCGGCAATCAAACTCCCCATTGCCGCTCTCGGCATCAGACACCAATCACACGGATGGTTGTGGTGGGATGGGAATCGATGCACAGAGTCATGGGGTAGAGACAGTGCCAAGGAAATCCATGGACAGCTTCGGGCAAAGGACTTCGATTTACCGGGGGGTTACGAGGTTCAACATCTAATCCGTTTGATGAATGATAGCGACAATGCTCTAAAGGCATATGATCTCTCTTCTCTCGCAGGCATAGATGGACAGGTAGGTATGAGGCTCATCTATGGGACAACAGCTGCAGAAGAGAAGGACAGTCTCGCAAGGGTAAACAAGGTATACACACCTCTCTCCATATATCATCTTCTTCTATGTTTCGCTGACTTGTATCTCATGGGATCTCGTCATGTTCCAACTGCATGCAGTCTATTTAGGTAAGCCAAACTCGGATCTCTTCGCAGTGGATTTCTGTATACTTCCTCCCCACTCTTCTCATGCCGCTATTCTCTCTCCATATATGAACAGGCGGCTACGATAAAGAAGATAAGGCAGCTCGGGCTTATGATTTGGCTGCTCTCAAGTACTGGGGTGCTTCAACAACCACCAATTTCCCCGTAGGTTCTTTCTCTCATTCACCCTGGTTGGCGTAATCGTATTGCTATGAGACATTGTTGCATGTTACCAGATAAGCAACTACGAGAAGGAGGTGGAGGAGATGAAGCACATGACAAGGCAGGAATACGTTGCCTCTCTAAGAAGGTGGGTTTACGTTTCTTGTAACATCTGATCATATACGACATTGTTTGGTGATGAAGCATATGAATGCAGGAAGAGCAGTGGATTTTCTCGTGGTGCCTCCATGTATCGAGGAGTGACAAGGTGCTTTGATTCCATTTCTAGAATTGGATGCTGACCTCTGTGATACTAACTAAATCATCCGATTGATCTCGACAGACATCATCAGCATGGAAGGTGGCAAGCTAGGATAGGAAGGGTGGCTGGAAACAAGGATCTCTACCTGGGAACCTTTAGTAAGTCCCTTCATCCCTTGTTCTCCATATCATCTGCGTCTTCTGAGCATTATTAGTACCTCGTTTTTGTAGGCACTCAAGAGGAAGCTGCAGAGGCCTACGACATTGCGGCAATAAAGTTCCGAGGTGTCAATGCCGTCACCAACTTTGACATGAGCCGGTACGATGTGAAAGCCATTCTCAAGAGCAGCGCACTGCCGGTCGGTGGAGCTGCCAAGCGACTCGATGAGATCTCCGATGACACAGAGGCAAGTGTTGATGGCAGCATGGCTTCCCACTTCACTGAGACGTTGGGCGGCTGGCCGACCATTGCCTTCCGGCAGGGCCATCCGCTGAGCTGCCACTATCCTTATGGTCAGCCAAGCGGCTGGTGCAAGCAAGAACAAGGAGCTATGACTGCTGCTGCTGCTCGTAGGGTGCAGGACTTGCAGCAGTTCAATTTGGGAAGCAACACCCAGACCTTCTTCCAACCATCGATGCACCAGAGAATGATGGTGCCCGATGCAGTTATCTACACCGGCAATGCTGGTGGGAACTATCAAATGGATGGCATCACTGGTAGGAACATGATGCCTGTAAGCACAATGGTGGGGAACCAAGGTCAAACTGAGGGGAAGCAAATGGCTCAGGTCAATGTGTTGGCCGCTGGTGATCCTTATGGTGGCAGGAACGTGTATTACCTATCACAGGAAGACAGTGGTCACGAACAAACCAATGGGTCCAACAATTGGATGGCTTCTTGAGTGCAGGAAACGATATGGTCAGGGAAAAGGAAACAAGATTCTCCTTAGTTCATGATTTTTGTCTTGTGTTCTTGCATGGATTTCCTTTGTGGTAGAAGGAATGCTTAATGCAACTTCTCCTGGCATAGCTTGTAAGAATTGGAGTTGCGATCTTGTCTTGCTTGCTTCGCAAATTCTTATCGTATCATCTTACGTTTGCATTCGGCTCCAACATTGGCTATTTCGCTTTTCTTTTGGATGCAATGGTTGAAGTCTTTTATCGCTAAGAGAAGCTTGCCTTTGCAACACAGATTAGGTTGAGATCCGCCGCAGGTTTCTTGGGAAAAGGACCAGCAGTTTTCTTCATGATGGTGGATATAGGGAATGGTGGTGTGCAGTTCGAACCCCAATAAGGCGAGATTAACTCCTCTCCCAACACTATGGCTGTGTTTGAATCTAAAGAAGCCACCGCAGTCCTCGCAATGACCAAGAAAACTAAAGCGTCGAGACATTAATTATTGTCTCGAATAACAGAGCTGATTCCAAGGAGTCACGCCTGTTCCTGTGATCTCTGTTTGATGTTCTTGCGATCGGCAGACTTCCCTCAAGAGGAAGAAGTTGTGGCGTTCATCCTCGAGGAAGAAGGGGTATGTTGCCGGAAGAATTAGATGTAGAAGATGTTGAAGGCCACGAATCCAAGTAGTAGCTGGTTTGATGTCATCTCTAGTCTTGTGATGGCACATGACTTCGCTGTCGTGGGCATCGCGTCTTCCATCCTTCCGCTGCAGACACCTTCTCTTTGTCCTCTTGCACGCATCTATCCGGTTGCTCGCCACGTCCATCTCGGTGATCGCGTCGGCCGCATACGATCTGACACCGAAGAGAACGCTGACGCTGAAGGGCGTCCAGACGGGAGGGGATGAGTCCATGCGCCACCGCGTGGGCAGCCAATGCTCGGTTCGACCGCGTGAACTGCTACTGACAGCGTGCGGTGGGCGGCAGCCGCTGCGTGGGACGGCCATCTGCGTTCTCGCGGGTTCTGCTTCGGCGATGCCATGCACCGGGGGAGAGACGACCACCGTTCACGAAACCCTTCGTTCCACGCGTCGTTTTCCTCTTGGTCTTTGATCAATCGAGATTAATCTGCGTCCACGAGAGAGAATTGTGTACTTTAATTTTCGTGCTAATTTATATGATCTAAAAAGTGATTTCTCACTTATGCATGTTGGATTAACGAAATATAAGTTGACATGTGGGAGTGTTGGATTCAATTCATGAGCACCGACGTATCAGATCCTCTGTTCGATGGAGTCCGGTCTCACCGAGACTCGTCGGACAAAGGTTGGTGATGGGTCGAGTGAATCCACCGCTCCCACCAACGCCAATTCCCTGAAATCTTCATATTGCCTGCGGCGAATGATCGAAGGTTATGGTGGGCGCGGTGGTAGAATCGCCTGATCGGGGGGGATCACGAAGAATGCAGGCGTCCTGTTTGATGAGATGCCTGTGAAGCATCTTGTCATGTTGGCTGTGTACGGGGTCGTTTGCTTCCATAGTTCGAGTTCTCTGGTGCTGCGAATGGGAGATGTGGTCTTTGTGAAGCCAATTCCACGGTTGGCATGCAGTGGCAAATGCATTGCTTGGTGCTATGAAGAAGCCACTGAGGACTTGGGTTGTGATGGCAAATGGAACTACTCGCTCCGATTCGTAGGCTTAAGGTCAGATCAACATGATTCTTCTTTGAGTACTTGCTGCATATATCTATTGTTGCCTTAATTTCCTATATGTAGGGTTGGGGAATCATTTTTACCACTGCAGTTGATACTCTTAGAGCTCGCTTTGGGTGTTCCTTGAATCTTTTGCATCCATACTAACTTTTAGAGGATGTGAAGGCTATCTAGTTCTTTGTTACACTTGTTGTCATGATCATCATTCGATCTTCAAATCGATGTGGGCCAAGTTCCCATGATAAGAGTAGTAAAAGGTTGCTTTTTTGGAGTGGATTGTGACTCATATAGATGCCTTGGCCAAAATTTGCATAAGTTTTCCCTCTCACTGATGGTGGTGGAACAGACTTGTTCCATCACCCAGTTTATATTGAAGGTGCTTAATTTTGAGAAGATGCATGTTTTTGTGGATTGAATGTGAATTGGAGCAACACTATTCTTAATCTCCTCATATCATAGTCTGAAAAGGATTGCTTTGGTGCTAATGTCAAAGCAAGTAGGATGCATTTAGGATGCATAGGCATGTGCAAATGCCAATCAAGTAATTCCTTAGTAATTGCTAACCACTTGTTTGGAACACAACCTTCTTCGGTTGTTTGAATCAGGAAGACAAAGCATGCTTATGGGCACTAAAGTTATGGCATATGAGATGCAAACTTAGACAGAGAGTAAACTCAGGAAAACATTAAATCTACAGACATTAGTACATTTATAACTCTTTGCATGGCTGCAGTCTAAGTCTCATTGGAGGAGTATCAGCCAGCCTCTAGACCGTTCACAGGAAACCATTATGTCCATCCACTGACAGATTGGTACCTTCATGCGAAAGAAGCACAGAGTCATTAAGGAAAAATATTTGTTTTGTTTCTTTCCATAAGTGTAATGGAGTTGAGATGTAATAAGGGATTTGTTTCTCATGAATTAAAACAGTCTGAGTCAATAATTTTTTTCACATTTCTTCTTGTCTAAAGTAATTGCTCATTAATATGTTAGGGAGTAAAACATAACTGAACTCCAGCGAAATAAGCATATTATGTCATCATAAACAATGATTTGATGCATAAACATGAAACCATCCATTCATTTTAGGATTCATTTTCTTAACAGTAGATGTGCATATTGGATATAGAAGTTGTTTTTCCTTCTTGTAGAGATAATCCCTAGGAACATATGAGATGAAATCTTAGACATTTTGTCCATTGCTTGGAGAATGATGCCTTTATATAATTTATGAGTATTAATAGATTTTTCTACATGGCTGAGTTATGATTTGATTTTAAATGTTTGGAGTATCTAATGGTTGGCAACTTGGAAAAGAGGACCACAAATATCAGTTGATGAACAGAGAAATATAGTAGTGACAGAATATTCTTGCATATGTTTGATGGATCTGGAACTACTAGTTATCAGTCAAGGTTTTGTTCAGTCTTTGTCCTGGCTAACCTGATGAATGGTTAAGCTGCATACAGATCTATGTTTGCAATTATGAGTTTCTGAATTGAATGATTTTATAAGCATTTTCTTCATGCCGAAGAGAAAAAGATTGAAAATTGTTATCTTAACTCTGTTGGTCAAATCAAACGCACCTTCTTCCACCACAACCATTCTCCCTCTGGCAGTTGAAGAACATCGCAGCAACAGGATCCCCGAGGTTGTAAAGTGCTGCAAACTCCCTGGTGTTGAAGTTTTGCCTCCATCCAGGTGCATAGATTGTTTCCCGAATCGATTGCCGGAACAACACAAACACAAAGCGATGAATTCCGGCTGTCGGCCGTGGACTCTCATAGCAAACAATTTCATTGCCTGAAAAAAACAAAGAAGATAATTAAAGGTCCTGGTGGAAGAGGTTGCAGATACTACAACATGCTCTGTTTCTTGATATCTCCTCCTTCTCTTTTTTTCCTATTATCTCGATACATATTATTGGTCGGTATGACTTTATCATGATATTTCCATCAAACAAGACTACTTGATGATGCCTTTCGGATGAGGCCAAAAAAAAAAAGTTTCATCTTTGGCTTATTTCTGATAGGCATGGCTCATATTTTGTTCTCACTCTAGATGAAGTTGAGTGATAGAAGAAATAGCCATTGTGGATGCCATTCAGCTAGTATAGATTCTACAGTAAAAGATGCATGATGAAGGATTGGAGACTTGTCATGCTGCTGTTCTCACTCACCAAAGCTGGTGTTCTTTGTTTCTGGTATGTTTGTCACCAACCTAAATAAAGTACATCAAAAGAGCCATGAGTAGATTCTCCATTTTCCTGTTTTGTGCATTACCACCAATATACAATTAGATCTTACCAATGCAGGTGCTCTCTTTCGGTTGGATTGCTGGGGCTTGGTGCATCTGGATCCACCATGACCTTGTAAAATCATCAGGTTGGTTAGTCAATCAATACTGATAGTTATTCTTAATAACGAATCTTAAAACCTCTAAATTTTATGAACTCCATCCACAGGAATGGTTCTTTCTTCTTTGGTAGCCATGCAGAATGCACAACCCTCACACCTCAGATTTGGACATGGAACGCATGAAACACCAACATGAGCCACACTTGTCCCCTCCACAACTAGTTCAAGCAGTAAGTCACCGATCATCCTTATCATTCACTGACCAAGCAGTGCCAGCATCTACCGGTGGGCTGGTCAAGACAAGACTTACATCACTGTTCAAGTGGAATGGCCAAACAAGAGTCACTAGTATCTACTTTGAAATGGCATGAAAGATGAACAGATGTCAGCATGATTGGGAAGATTAAGTATCCAGAAAAGGAAAGTCAAGGTGTCTTATCAATGCAGTGTATGCATCCTGGCAATGCCAGGAATGCAGAAAAGTTCGACGGTCATTTCCAACAGTGCATCTAACTACTGGCCTATGATTCTTGTACTCACGGTGGGATGACTGCTTCGTCCTAGATTTCTTTTCTTGGAGAAAGAGCACAAGAAAAGAACAGGACATCTTGGGCTGGGCTCAATTACTATCGAGACTTCAACCACATGGAACAGCAGCTGCTGAGGCAAGAGCAGCCAGAAAGTTTGGTATGATCTCATTCTCTTAATCATGCAGCTAGCTAATCATCAACTTATTGGCACTTACTAGCGTATAAAGGTTCCTCATATCGCGGCCTCTGATCTCGACTCTCGGCTCATTCTCCACCGCCGACGGCTTGAGCTCGGATCCATTGGTCAGCTCCTTGTTGTTGTAGATCACCCTCAGCGTCGCGGACTTGACGAATGGGTCCAAGACATCACCTATGACATTGCCTACAACAAGCGGATCCCTCGACATGATTAGTGACGAGAAGAGCTACTGGCAGTGGTAGAGGAGAGGGTGGGAACGAGAGAGAGAGAGAGAGAGGGAGACTCGGATGGTCCTTCCTGTGATGGCATTGGAAGATGAGGTGCCCATTTATACAGCAGCTAAATGATTGGAGCACCCACTCAAAACTCCAGGCTCCATAGGAACTGGAATCTACTTTTGCACTAGAGAGTGTAGACCGAGTACTCATCAGTGCAAATGTTGAAGATCTTCCACCCTTTGAGCCTTCACAAGGGCAAGTGGATCGATTGCATAGTGAATATATCTGCCGACTTATTCTCTAAATCTGGAACCTCTTGAGTGATGAATGATATGGTCAGCAAAAAGTGGGTTGCCTTTTGACTTGCCTTCATCCAATCTCCTCTCTCAGATCTGTCTATGCTGACGGCGCCTCGGAATTTATCAGCTGCATGCGCCTACTAGCAATGGCTTTAAAGAGATGCTTGGGGCTCAAAGGCAGGAATGTGACATCATACCCACATATTTCAGTTCCATCACTGCAGTTCATCGGTTGGTCTTTGTCATCCCATCGGTGTACCATGCTGCAATTTGCTAAAGCGATCTGGGAATGATATAGCAGAAAGGATCGATGTGTGAAAGGTAGCATGGTTTCAGCTTGCAGAAGATGATGCATGAGGAGAAAAAAGAAGTGGTGATCTATAAAAGAGATAGAGAGGAATCAATCTAGGCGATCATGGTGTTTGTTGGATTCCACTGCCAGCCGACTTCTACGAAAGATCGTGATATTACTTGTCTCCGCCTTCATTGCTGTGTTCTTCCATGAACTGCAAATCCAGGGAGACATTTGATTGTCATGTCAGGTATGCATATATTCCTTGGAGCTCAATCCTCTGAGCGAGAAGCAAATCTTCAATCCGGTAAGATCGGCAGGATTATAATCACAGCAAGCTGATGGTTTGCTTTTATTCGCCACCCCCAACCAAAATGCTGATCTTGAATGAGCAAAAGACAACTCTTCCCATGGAAACGTTCTCAGGACAAAAAAGAATGTGCATGCAGGACCTTTTATCATGTGCGGCAACAAATGGTAAACCATCTTTTTTTGTACTCCTTTTTAAGCATTAGCTCAAATAAAATAATGATGCCACTAAAAATTCTTGATCCCAATTATTGGTCATTCATGATGGTCTACTTTTAGCACACAAGTAGTTTGGGATCTTCAACCTCTGCATGCCATTGCATTGTTTACTAATAGCAAGGCAATTTTTAAATCCACAGCAGTAACTATTTGATTCTTCTTTCTTGCATTACATTATATCTGTTGGAAGTTCTTCCTCTTTCAGCCTCAGCATATCAAGCAATCTTTAGTTGTTTCTTTACATTTTCTTCAGGCATATGATTCTGATGTGCACTTATCTTATTTGTGTGCAGAAGAACTCAACATGTGGGTGAAGTAAACCACACCATGAATTGTGTTGCAGTCTGGTAATACTCTGCAAGTGACTGTCACCTCTCTCTCTCTCTACCTCCAGTGGTTGGGGAGGGGATCCAGCAGATCATGCAGGGCACAGTTCAGCAATTCCAACCAATCCTAGCCAAGCTAGGACAGGCAAAGTAGTGACCTTCTAGGGTTCCCAATAAGGTAAAAGGAATCAGAAATCAACTGTGGCTCAAATCCAAACACATATCTCAATGCCACCTTCCTCTTACATGCCAAATCTGGTGGGGGACAAAACTACAGGGAGACCCTTGCACTATCCATCAATCTCCAAGAAACACAAGAGTTAGGTTGATCTGATCTAAAGGTTGGGCTCCTTATTATCCTTTTTGCTATGACGATCTAATTTGGATCAATGTGTGTTCATCAAAGATTCAACAAGCTATCTTCACATTGAATAATCAAAGTATCACATAATTAATTAGAGCTTAAAAAGATGGGTGTTACTTTGTGTATGATAGTTGATTAATGGAAGGTGGTAACTTATATCACAAGTGAGCAATTTATTGTTTGTCACATGCATAAATATGTGTGTTTTTACTTGCTCTGTTATCTTTGGTTATATTTGATATTTCATGGGTTTCTGTAGTGATGCCTTAAGACCACAAATTTCTTGAGACTAAAGGTTTTCTTTTCCATCTTTTCATCCCTAACATTCCTAATGATTTAGATGCTCTGTAATTTATATATAGAAAAAAGTTAAACGTTTTATCTACTAAACAAAAATATATTTTTTTTCTTATTTTTGAATAATATTTCAGTCATACCGTTTGTCTTTTTGCCCGCTTTGTCGTTTCTGGAGTTGATGGTGATGCGTCGCCGAGAATAGTACGGACGCCGTCATCTTCTTCATCGTCTCCTCCACCGCATCTGCCTCCATATCTTGTCCTGTCACTTTGGCCTCTGCAAACCACAGAATGGTGGAAAAGGAGAGGATGATATGCTAATAATAAATGATATCAAAAAAGTCGTGCGATCTAACTCAAAATTTATAACATGTTTGATGATTTTACAGACGAACAAAAATCTTATTTGTGTTTTGAAAGCGTCATTTTGGGTACAAGTCTTATCGTATGTCTAACCTCATTAAATCCAAACATACATGGAGTCGTTGAGGTTGAGCTTAGAAATTGAACGAGACATACATGTGTGCCTGCCATCAAATTGCTGATTACCAAACACCAAGAACTTTGAATGCATCATAAGATCTAAATTTGTAATCTTGGGAGTGCCGAAGCAGATCAATGTTTAATTTTTCACAGGATATGAAAAGTTGTTCTTTCTGATAATAATTTATATAATGATCAAGAATAAAGAACCTTGTCACATCAGCATCTTTTTTTTTTATTTTTTTTGGAGCATACATCAGTCAAAAAGATAAAATGAGCCAGCAGCCACAGAGGTATATTGTTTATTTTTTGAAAAAAATATATTATCACTTCAAAATTCTCTTAAGATCATTGTATGATAACAGAGATAAATCTGAGATAATTATCTACCCATATCAAAGAAGATTAATTAATTCTAGCTTAATTAACAAACCAATTAGCTGCTTGATTATATTTTTTTATAGCAATATAAAAAATTATAAAAAGTTAGTCATTATATATATATATATATATATATATATATATATATATATATATATATATATATATATATATATATATATAACCTTGAAGAGAGTCAAAAAAAAAAAAAGAGTCAAAATATGTGAATTAAGTAACATCAGCATCTTTCTCTCAGCATACATGAACAAAACAAGAGTCAAAAAGACACAAAATGACCAAGGCCTTGAAGGGACATAATATATTGTTCATGCCTAATAATTAGGGCTTAAAAAACCCCATCAGGGTATAAACTTTTGCTAATTGATAACAAACCTAAGCATATTTTCCCTGCTTTCAAAAAAAATATATATATATTCACATGCAGGTAAAAGAAGAGACTCCATATGTGATGGTAATAACAATATATATAATGATTAGGTGTAAAGAACCTTGTTACACCAGCATCTTTCCCTCAGCATACATGAATAAATCAAGAGCTGAAAAAGTTACAAAATGACCAAATCCACAGAGGCCTGGAAGAGAGTCATGGTATTATATTGTTCACGCCTAATAATTAGGGGTTAAAAAACTTAAACAGGGGATAAACTTTTGCTAATTAATATTTATGAATGAGCTAAGCATATATCCCATGCCTTCTCAACAGGACTGCTCCTCCTGTCACCTAAGTTTGACCGGTGAGTGCTCATTGATGCTTTTGCTTTTTGTTGTGGTCACATGTTGGAATATTATTTAAACGCCGGGCAGTATGCTTAGAGAAAGTGTTGATCTCTTGTTCTTGGCACACTTTTCTGGTCTGATCCATGTTTTCTATCAGGACAAGCAACTTCATGACCATATCTAATTGCATTTGTAGCACAATTTATCACAAGAACTAATAGTTGAAAGACTTTGAAACCCAAGCAAGACCATGTTGTGGATTTCATCTTCTAAATTGTTGCAAGATATTTATGGAATATCCCACAATGATGTCCCAGTGGCTTCATAAAGAAAAAACCGATGGATCTTGAAACGAAAATTTGCAAGGGACCCAAAAAGATGAACTTTCTTTTTTTCTTCCCATTGTTTAGACAATGACATCATCCAAATCCTAGATATGAGAGAATCCATCATGTATTCCATGATCACATGCCAAAGTGGCTTTAAACAGGACTTTTGCAGTCACCACCTATGTCAAACCCATCCACCATCCCCCCAAAAGGATTCATAAGATGGAGAGCCATGGATTCCTCTTTGTTTTCTACTGCCCAAGCAACTCCTTTGCCCAAGAACAAAAGCTCCAAAATGGAATCTAAATAGGTGGGGATGCTTCTATCCACAGAAAGCTGGCAAAATTTATTCTCTGAGGTGCATTAGTTATGGATAAACAATGCAAAAGGAGCCTCCCTTGCACTCATTCAAACATCAGGCCTGGTGATTGATACCCTACATAAAACTCGATTGTCATCTTCTTCCGTACAATACTTTTCAAGCCATAGAAGCTTGATATTGCACTGTTTGATCAAGCCTATCTGGTACCAAAATGTGGATGCCTATCTTTGGGTTGGGGATAGAGTTCAAGAAAAGTAGGAAAACTAGGATGCCTGTGGAAGCAGAATTAAAGGTCTTGGTCATGTTCCAAGATGGATGTGTCCACATTCTACTTGTCCTCTCGATAAGATGTTAGAGAAGGCTCCAAACCCTGAGAGTTTATCATACAGTAAGCTTCAGATCTCTACCTCACTAATATCATATTAGAATGCATATGCTTGAATGCCAATATGAAAAAAATAAGGTGGTGTTTTAGTGGGCTGCTTAATCCAGGAAAATTGCACAAATGACAGAAAATACTAAAGAACTCACAGCACAAAGGTAGAGAGGGTTACCTTACCAAACAGTAGTCACCGGTGTGATGGAAGTCAAATGGCGCGGGAGATTGTTCAGGAACACACAGTCCCCTGGAAATGTTCAGTATGCAGAACCCAAAGTGTAACCGATGAGATATTTCATATGGATTGTGTCAGAGCACTAACATGTTAATGCCTTTTGTTGCCAATAATGTAGGACTGCAACTCATCTGCTGCTAATTTTCCACCAAGCAAGCGCATTGCTAACTGCATCTGCTTTCTGTGACAATGATGAACACAAATGAGGAATATAACGTGAATCTTTAATCAATAACCTTATGTTCTAAATCAAGACTAGGATTCTCAGAAGCGTGGTAACAAAATTACATTCATCAAGCAAATAACTATCCAAATGCAACAACATGAGAAAACATGAGAATAAACAATTAGGTGAAGTTCCTGACACTTGTGGTGGTAAATATCAAATACAGTATAAAGTTCTATAAAAACCCAAGGATAATAACATAAGACTTAGAACCAATAGGGAATGACAAATACATACACGGAAGCTTGGAGAAGTAATATATGAACACGAGCATTCCTCACTTTGCACAAAAGATTAATCCAGATGCAGGTTTATCCACTAACTTATGTCCAGCTTAGACTGATCAATGAGTCTTTTTTTCACCAGAAGGTCAAGAAAGACAGCAGCATACACAGTTTTGTTCCTGATATACAAACTTCAACTAATTCAACTAACTATTTCCTTCTTCTGATCAAAGTTCACCACAGTTCAATGCTTCTTTTCTTCTAGCCTGAATCTGAGACATGAATTAAATGATCAGCAAACTAAATAAAGGAGTAGGCCCGTTTAAAGAGGATGCCTTAGTCCAGCTTTTTCTTAAAGCTTGTGAGATGTTCCTCTGTGCCTTCTGGAAATGCACATGGCAGGGGGATGGCACTAAGCTCCCAAAAACTGGCTTACCACAAATAATTGATCCACTTTGTCTACAGCTGTTGTAAAAAATTATCATAAAACAAAAAGCCATAAGAGGAAATCCATGATGCCAAAAGCTCTTAAAATAGTAAATATCTTGTTAGAAAACTACTTATAGTACTACTGATAATAACATGACTACCTTAATTTCAAATTTCTGGAGTCCAATAATATGTTCTAAAAAAGGCAGCTATATCTTCCTAAACATTCACAAACCACAGGGGTATATTAACTTCCCAAATCCAAAGCATACTAATAATAATGTACATCAACAACTGGTACTGAAACAACGAAGATTTCTATTATTCAATTGAGAATATTACAAGTGATATATGACACTAGTTTGTTGTATACTTCAGCACAATAAACCCTTCTCTCAGAGTAGAAAAATGCTGCACACGCATTCGATCCTCCGGTTTGGCCAGTTCTATGAATCATCAAATGTACCCATAGTCATGTACCTATCTATTGAGATAAGGTGGACCACTTGACAAATCGTATCTTGTTGAGTTCTTTGTTTAAGATTGAATAAAAGCATTCATTACTTTTCATTTGTAACAAGCATCATGCGTCATCCTTACCATATGAAAACTCAGAAAATCAAGAAAAGTTTACTGCCCAACTCTAAGTCAGCTGATGCTCCTGAATATCCTAATCGATAAACTTCCCCCTAAGAGACTGAGCCTCCTTATCTACAATCCACTCACTTAGTATATAATGCTAGACAAGTCCACTACTAACAATTTAGGCTCAAGCATATTGGATCATGTGGTACTAGGACCATTATTTCCAAATCTTCGTGTTGACATATTTATTGGGCCAGATCACATAATTTGTATCAGAGCATCTCTGTAGGGCACTTTATGGGGTCTGAGGCATGCCAAATTTAGAGTTACCTTGTGCAAGCTCAGTTGGAGTTTTCTCTGGCCTAGAGAACTAACAGAATTCTAGAGGTGGATTCTAGGGTTGATGTATTGGGTCTTGTCAAGGACATCGAGCATTTTAATGGGGGTGATTTTGATTTCCCAATAGTAAAATAGATGTGAATTAGAATATAAGACTAGTTAGATCTACTACTATTAATTTTACTTAGGCATTTTGATTTCAATGATTCTAGATGTATTATATCCCAATTATAGGTTAGTCTGCTAGACTAGGTCATGACACCACTTGGTAAAATGTTATACAACAAAAATACATTGTGAAATGCAAAAGCAAATACATTCAACATAGTTCTCCCTTTGTATTCTCTTGCATTCTAAGTCTAAGATTTAAAATAAGGATCCCAACAAATAAGAGCCTGCATATAAGCATCTCTCCTTAGATAGCCCCTCTAAACCTTCGTTTCTACAAATATCTTCTTATTATTCAATAGGATAAGCACATAGCTAAGCTTTATTCGTCATATTGTTTTGCCATTTTTTAGAATACTCTTCCAGCTAAGACTTCAGGTTAAGCCACAGGTTCACAACCGTATACTAATTGTGATGGATGCCATTAAATATGAACAAGCCATAACACTATTGAGTTGAAACCAAAAAGAAAAAAAAAAGATTCTGTAGATTTGGCAATAATTATTAGTTACAAAAACTAGAAGAAATAGATATGGAAGAACTAGTCATAGACAAAATGTCACTTCAACCATTATGTCTTTGTTTTCATGTGATTAAAAATTTACTCATAATAATTATATTAGGGTTATTCTCTCAATGAACTAGTCTCTGTTACTTCTTATTATTGTTTTTAAATAGTTTACATCTTTTATATATTAGTTACATAATTTTCATGAAAATTTAGATGTCTTATAGAAATAGATCTCTAGAATGATTAGTATGCCACAAGGATTAAAGCACCATCAAAAGAAAATCTAAGTTCAACAATCTCACAGCTTCATCGTAAGAACATAAGTCCACATATACAGATGTTGAAGTCCATACCTCTTAGTGACATGAGCACAAGCCTTGTACATAGTTTGCTTCTTATCTAAGGATGAGAAAACCTCAGCAAGGGCATCGATTTGCTTGCAACCTGGAAAGCCACGCCTGCCGTTACACGGGGACTGGGGATGCCTGCAAGAATTGCCTATTATGTGGGAATTAGTATCCTGGAATCACCTTGGCTAATGAATCGATAAGTGACTCTCATTATAAGCTGCAGCAAGTTAACATTTTAAGCTCTCATGGCTAACGAACAAATCAGGGCACAGACGACTCAATTGCTTCAATGGCGAATGTAGCATGTCCAGATCTTAAGCTTTGTGTCCTTCTATCTAGTATGCTGCACATGGGGAACCAGTATACCAGAAGAAGTAAATGTAAGTCTATCTACAAATGCAAATCTGCACGGTATTATTATCTTATTCAGAATTCAGAAACACTTATGTTTATCATCTATGTTCATTTGCATCAGTTTCCATCCGTGCTGTGCCCGAGGAGATGAGTAGTGGAGCATCTAAGATGACATGAACAGAAACAAGGCAGAAGCAGAGGGTAATCATCAAGGAGAACAATTTGTTGCCACCAAAGATATCCCCAGCTGCATAATCCATCGGCTGCATAATCTAACAGTGCAAGCCACTGCTTGGGCCCAGAACTTCAGCCTTGCTTTAACTTCTTCAGGTTGGTCACCTGGAAGCATGAAAGAGGGTAAAGATGAGAGAAGCTATTTTCATTGTCATCCAATGAAATGAAGGGAAAAAGAAGATCATGGCATGATAAAAAAGCAGAGACTAACAAACAGAAGAATAAAGAACATGATGATTGGATGATGGAGCTAGTTTTTTTGCCTTGTTGCTTAGCATCACAACAGTGCAAACTAGACAATAATTTGATGCAGGTTGAGAATGAAAAAAGGCATGATGATTTTCTTTTATACTAACCGCCGGCAAATGAGTAACACTGTGAAAACCGAATGGAATGTAAGAATGCCATGATATTGCTCCAATGTATATTGTGCATCAACAAAATTTTCATGTACCAGTATGTTGCACCCTCCAATCATCTTCTACATCTAAAATATGTACTAATGAACTGTATAAAATTAAATAACTGGTAAAGGCCATGCAACAAAAGTTGGTAGAAAGGAAACGAAGTTAATAGCAGACATGGAATACTTGCCAAAAAAATATCCCTAACCAACCAAAAACCAAAACAGAACAGGCTTGAAGAGAGCAACAGTAATTAATTATCTAAGGTGTCAACTATCCTAGTTGGTAAAGACTTTGACAATATATCGTAAGGCTCGAATCCCGCCTTCATCACTTACCCTATGCAAAAGAAGAAAAAAAAAGTAATTAATTATTCAAGCCTAATAACTCTATAATTCAGGAACTTGGTTCAAGTTTTCTCTGCAATTTCTCACGAATTTATCATAAAAAATCTGCCCCAAACCCTGAACACTAATCGACTCAATAAAAAATCTACCAGAAAAAGCAACTACTTCTAAACATCCTCCTTTGGTAACCAACGATCCTATAATCCTTTAAAGATCAAAACCCGAAATGCTAGGTATCACTTCACATTTCATCTATAGATCACAACCACAAGGGTCTCTTGATCTCCCAATAGAGCAAACAGCATTAATCTATCTACTAAATAGGTAAAAAATAGAAGGCACTTGATGATTGATAACCAACACAAGGGTTTCCCGAGTAAGTAAACAACATTAATCAATTTTGTTGCTGCAAGATCTCAACCAACACAAACCTTCGCGTGCTGGATTTGGAAAGAAAGAAGAAAGAAGATTCATCTCACCAGGACCGGAGATCTTCCAATTGGCAATAGGAGACGAAGCGACGTTGGCAGTGCTAGTTTCCAACGACCGTCTCAATGAGAAGCAGAGCACGAGAGCCGGCAGCGTCTTGCAGAGCTCCGGGATCTCGTCGTAGGTAAACCCGAACCCCAGGTCCAAGCACGCCTTGAGCTCCTCCAAGTCGTCGTCGGTCAGGCTCCTCGCCCTCCCCACGCCGTTTCCGCCCTCGGATCCCTGATCCGATCCCTCCCCTGCCCCCACGAAGCATTCCAAAGCAACGCCGTTGGGGGACGGCTCCTCCTCGGCCACGCCGCCTCCCACCCCTTGCAGTTCCATTCGCTCTCCCTCTCCTCCAACTCTCGAGCCCTCCATTGGTCCGCCTTCGCCAACTCTTTTTCCAAGCGATAACTGCCCATTTTCTCTCTCTCTCTCTCTCTCTCTCTCTCTCTCTCTCTCTCTCTCGTTGGCGGGAGCTTTTAAATGGGGTTTGTGACGCGATGATGTCATGATGCACGACATGAAATGGAGAATGAGTCTTTCCCTTTGGCTCACCCGATCCGCGTGCAATGGACTCACCGTGGGGACCACTTGTTGAACCATTCGTTGCCTGGTAAGTTCGTACGACGGAGCAGGATAGCATTGGATTATTGTGGATCCATTTTTGCGAGTAAATATACATATGTAATACGTTTTAAATCAAATTAAATATTCGTATTTGGAATTAATACCGGATAAAATAAAGGACGAATTTTCAAAATAAATTTCTAATTTTGAGAATTTCTCACATGACTGCTTTCATCGAACTTCAACAACTACCTCATCTCTCCTTTATCCCGTTAAACTTATCGATCATGGCTCTCGTGTGAGAAAGGAGAGAACTGAGGATTATGTCACTTCTACTAACTCTACCCTTATGTTCCTTGCTTGTAGCTCTTGCAACTCTTCCTTTCTTACATGAGAGTTGCGAGTGAGGAGTGTAGGGATGATATCAACAAATGTAGTGGCGACTCTTATGTCTCCTCCTTCCTCGCACGAGAACTGCGAGTGATCGACCTAGTAGGGTAGGGCAAAGGAGAGTGGAGGCAACTATTGGGTCCAGTGAGAGAGAGGCTTCTGTCATTAGTCGTCGCCACATGTGAGCACACTTGCATCACAAGCGACGGACGATTGTTCAAGGTAGAGAGGGGTGATCTACAGAGTAAAAACATAGTAAGGAGTTGGGTGGAGAGTGATAGCCAGTACAATGATTGTTTAAAAAAAGAGTGCTATGAAGAATAAGATCTTCTTTTTTTCAAAAGGATACGTATAAAATTGATAATAATATAAAAAATACATACGATACTTTAATATTTCTTTCGAAAAAAATGTATACTTTCATGTACCCTGAAGAAGTGGACAATACTATGCTATTTCCTCTGCTTATATTGGTATTATTTACTTTGTTTGTTGCGAAATTCATTTTGATCAAGGAGTAATAGATTTGGATATATTATCCAAATGGTTAACTCCACTCACAAACCTTTTCCATCCAAATTCGAGAATTTATAAAAGTTAAGATGCTTTTGCAAAATTCTTAAAGTTAGTGTTTTTTTTTTCTGAAAATTTACTCTCAAATAAATAAATATTTGAGCCAAAATTAGAATAAATTCATCAATAAAAATAGATTGAATACATAATAACCTACACATTATGATTGTATGGGAAATAAAGAAGACAATTAACTCAAAGAAGGACATGCTCTGTGATTAAAATTTAGGAATAAAAACAAAGAAAAACTTGTAGGAATGTATTAAATCTTGAAGTTGATTGGATTATTAGAGTATTTACATTGTATATTGGTAACATCTGGATATTGGTATATGTTAATAACTTGATGTGATGGATCGAAGATTGAATGACCTAGTACTATCCCAAAGGCGCATGGTCATCTTCCAAGGTGAGATAAAAGAGGGTTTGGATGGGGGGCAACAAGGACAGTTTCGAGGTGACCTTTAAACTTTTATGGTTATCTCGAGACGAGGCTCATGTGAGCTCGATCTCTCTAGCGTTATGCATCATAGGTTAGTGTCTGAGGGTTCCTGACGTGACTTCTTTGATGTTCGAATTAGTTTTTAGTAAAAACTATAGCTTTTTTTTTAGACTTAGAGTCCGATCATCGTTTGAGTATCGAAGATTGATTTTTATACCTATGGAATCGATAAGATGGGACCGTGGATAATATGAACTGTCGGTAGTGGTGCATTCAATCACTCATTGCAACCTTCATTGGCGTGGGTCAACTTGTGCAGTCTCCTATTGCGCGGGTTGACTCGTGCATGCAATTTCTTGTTGTGGGGTGTTACTTGCTAGTCATGTAGAATAGATGTCCTGTTGTCTTCCGTATCAACTCCTCGATAGTCGTCAACGGACATATTGTGATTAATGCTAGAATTTTCCATTATCAATATCCAAGTCAACTCACAACCTCATTACGATACTAATCAAATTAGAGATATATGCAACAACAATGCAACTCCAGCTCAGCAACCATATCAAAAGAAGTTTTCCACCTCATCTCATCTCTGCACTATTCTTCATCGCTATATTCTTCCAGCTTTCTAACAAAGAATAATATTATGACTCTTCAACGAGCACAAGTAGAAGAAGAAG